AATGTTAGAAACAATGCGAAATATTCTTCGAAATCTTATTTTGTACAGAATGGATTCATTGAAAACATTGACTGAACTACGTCCTAAAGTTAATCATTGCCCTAGTACACGTTGTCTCGTATGCAAACCGACTATTCACCTAGTTGGAATTTTTTCTATAGCATATTATCAACCTCATGTTGTTCAAAAAGATTGTAGAAGTTGTGATTGTTCTTCCAATCAACATATTCCGATGTCTTACATGCTTGACTATGAATGCTCGAAGAATGGTTGGAATTATAATGAAAGAGAAATGATCGATATGATACATGAACTGTGTAATATAAGTGCTGAATTTGCACATTTTCTTATGCATGTTGTATGTTCTACGAAAGATGATCCATTCTTAATTGGTTTTGTGGAAATGATAATCGAGGAAAATGATATTTATAATAGTCAAACATCGAATCGTCTTAACTTACAGTTGGCTAATGATCTGAGAAACCTTAAAAATAAATATGAACAGCGATTTAATGAAATTCATCATCTTGAAAATTATAGAAAATTATCAAACATCTATCATTTAATCAATAACATTAACAAATATCCTATGATTCGGGAACAATTGGCTGCAGTGAAAGAAGGACAAAAGATAATGATGAAACAGCATGAGTATGAAATACCAAGAATATCATGTCTTTGAATAACTCATCAAAACTCTTTTTATATATAGACTATTTTTTGAATCATAAAAATCGTGATTTGTATTTTTGATACAGTTTGCGTTGAAAACGAAGAAAAAAACGCATTCAATTACATTTTCCAATTTTTTTTCAAATATTGTAGAAAGAAATTCTTTTACATCTATGACATATGCCTCGTATTCTTGAAAAAGATGAAAGATACGTGTCATATTGATAAAAAACATTCACAAAGAGATATACACATGAGTTAACAGCCGCTACGCAAATTATTTAACAAAGTTTATTTTCAATGCTGTTTACAGCTTTAATCGTTATAAAGAACTCAAATAGTGTTTCCTATATTGACATGTTGTAGATGCTGAAAAACTGATTGTTTCGTTTGTTTGAAAATCCGATAATCAGTTTTCTTGTTAATATATTCATGACGTAAATATTTTTCGGTATTCAACTTACTATTTGGACTCTTTATAACGATTACGACAGTGAAAAGAACTGAAAATAAATTTTATTGAACAATTTTGATAGAAACTGTATGTAATAAATACAAGTTACACAATTCTTAGATGCGAATAGAAAATAATAACAAATAGTTCACTAGTAACTGCTAATGGAAACATTATCGGACGTTATATTTAATAAAACTAATTTAATTAATATGTAAAAATTATTATGCTATGAATGAAGATAAATTTAGAGATTGAACAATTATTGTTTTTTTTTATTTCAAATAACGAAATGTATCGAAAAGGTTTCGAAGTTTTCTTTTAACGTGTATTGACACTAAAGAATAGTTGTTGCTTTATACGTCGCTCGATTGATAAGAGTATTTTTATTTGTTGCACGACAAGCATTTTATTTTTCAGCTCACTTTTTTTTTTGGTTCTTTTTATCTTCAACCAAACGGAGAAAAAAGCATATTTACTTTAGGTAACAGATGTTTTAAGAAAAATGAAACAGACTTGCTTCCACAACTAAGCAAACATAAAAATACGAAATTCATTTTGAAAAGGTAAGAAATACAAAAAAAAATGCTTCATTCAAATTTTTCACAAGAAATTTAAGAAAAAAAAAACGATTTTGTTTCTTATATCAACAAAGGAAAATCAGCTAAAATGCTTAATCACTTTATATTTAGAATAATCTCCATCATGTAGGTCCTAATGTATTATGAATACACTGAAAAGATTTTGTACTGCTAGCTTAGTACTATCAAGACACTTCATTTGTACCGTATATTTTAGCACACAGCTGTAGTCTGTCTTAGGATCGCGGAAAAAAATTGTTTTCGAATTTCATCTGATAACATTACACAGAGATATGTCTTAAAAAGTGGCTTGTGATGAAAGTTCCAAATTTTTTCGTCATTCCTCTCTTAAACTATAGCTATAGTAAAAGTATAAAGATACATAATAAACTATTTTGTTTAAAACCTATCTCGATGCAAAATTTTTAGTTGATATTGGAAAATCAGTTTTCCCTGGTGTTACTTCAGGCAGACTAATCGTAATTTACAATATCTCAGTATGAATACGATAGCAGTACAAAGTCTTTTCAGTGTATTCCTAATTCATTGGAGGCTACATGATGCACATCACCCTGACTCAAGAGCAATTGATCAGATAGAAGATATGGAAGAGACTACATTTGAGAACTTTAGTATCGAATTATTCAAGAGAGTTTGTTTATACTTGTTAACACAGGTAGCAGAACGTTTTGATTCTAGAGTAAATGCAAAATGTTTTATAAGATTCTTATTTCGAAGATCAATATGAAAGAAAACGAGTTGTTGAATGCCACTTACAAGAAATACGATTAGTGTCTCTTTTATCGAACTCATATATTGCAACGTGTAGTAGCAGTGCAGATCAGAAAAGATTCACAACTTTCATAAAATGTTTTACTCGAAAAAATTTTTAATGATCACGCAAAAATGTTTAATAAGCATGTAATTCGAGTTGACAAATATGACGATAAATTTTGCTACAGTCTTTCTTCACCAGTAAGAAAGAATCTTCAATTTAAGTCATCGCCGATGTAGAATACAGTATTTACTTGCAAAAACTCAATGATATCTCAAAAATGTTTTTTAAGTCTGTTTGATTAAGAAAATGTTATTATTGGCCTTTTTACAAAAAATGTAATGCGTTGCATAAATCTATCAATCTAGTGGACGGAGAACAGTTTTTGATCCTATCTAAGTCTTGTAGATAATGCCTAATGATCTTCAAAATATTTTTTTTTTGTTAAATTCTAATAAATTTCAGTTTCTTGCCTACTATCGTTATGTCTGTACAACCAATGGAAATAGAAGAAAACTTAAACAATGCATCGTTTATTGATATGAAGCGTACCGCTATTGACCATTTTGGACGCCTTGGTTTCTTTTATGATGCATGCCGAGATTGTCTAATTAAACAGCCGAATATTAATGTAAAAGAAACATTATGTCAAGTGGATAAAATAGTCACAGTCGAGATTAAATATGGCTATGATGATCAACCTCAAAAACTTTTACGACTTCTTTCTATTGACGAACATTTAATGTTAAGCATACTATTAGAATTAACACCAAATACAGACAAAACTTCACTCATTAACTATTCTCATCTATCGAACAAATATACTCGATTATTCTGCTACTCTTATATAGATCATATACAAAAATTATCCAACAAAATAAAAGATATTAAACAGTTTATGTATTCATCAATATCTTCAACTGCAGCAACTCATATTGTAACTGGTATTGAATGGGGAATTGACTTAGTTGTTCTTCTACAGTTACCAGCTGACCATGATAAAGCAGTGCAGATAGATAATATACTTAACAAACTTCTTTCATCTTTACTTCATGAGGAAAGTATTTGCCCATTAGCTCAAGATGAAGAAAGTCTTTTAGAACATATTGTTCATACGAAAGTTTACACTTATGTGTCTGTATTGAACAATTTGACTAAAGTGCGTGATGTCTGTCACTATATAAAAGAAAACATAAACAACATTAGCTTCTATCCGATCACTTATACCCTTCGACCCATCAAGTATTTCTATCCACAAAATAATGGAGAATGTCGGAAATTCACTCTTCTATCCACAGAACTCAATGGAAATATCGAAGATTACGTCCTTCAACTAATGACTGATATGAAACAATTAGAAAAATCCATCATAGAAGATATGCCAAAGATCTTATGTAAACACTTGAAACAACGATTTGCTTGTATAGAAACACAATGGTTCGATGTGAAAAAAATATTTACAAATGAAATCGAACGAATTGCCAATTTAGTTATCCGAATTCGCAGTGGTGAAGCTGAAAACCTATTCACCGAACAAATATTTAACGATAAAGAACAAATGATGATAAAAAATAGTATTGATGAATTAACACAAAATGTAAAACATCTCGAAGAAAAAGAATATTTTATTAGATGTTTAAATCAACAAAATTTCCAATATTTGAATGTCATTGAGTACAACATCGATCAAACAGATAATGAAAATTCTATCGAACATAAACTTGTTCAAAATGATCAACATTATCGAATTCTTTGCTCAAATGATTGCTTAAACAAGAATAATTCAGAAGAATTGCAAAAATTAATCTGTGATCTAATAGAAGAAGCTAAAAATAATTCGAGTTTACATCTTATTTATGCTGATTTTTCAGACTGTTCTTTTCCATTATCTACTATGATGGTGTTGTCATCATTAAAAAAGGCTCATGAAGACATGATCGATCAACTTTCATCTGAATTGTCTACAGCGATGGAAACATTTACTGTACCGTTTACAGAACCTGACATACTTACTGATCAGCCAACACCGACGTCAATGTCAATTGATGAAACTATCAATATTGTTCTTTTGGGTGAAACAGGTGTTGGAAAGTCAACTTTTATTAATGCTTTTGCCAATTATCTTACATTTAACACACTTGAAGAAGCTGAAGCAGGTCAATCAGTTGTACTCATACCTGTTTCATTTATGATTACGGTTGGTGATAACTTTGAAGAACATATTGTAAAATTTGGTGGTGTAGATGATTCAAATAATGAAGATTTTGATCATCCTGGCCACTCCGTGACACAACATTGTAAATCATATATATTTAATCTGAATGACAGCGATCAAAGAAAGCTATGTATTATTGATACACCTGGGTTTGGGGATACACGAGGCATTGAACAAGATGATCTCAATATGGAACATATTTTAGAATATGTGAATAATCTTACTCATATAAATGCAATATGCTTTCTTCTCAAACCAAATGAATCGAAATTGCATATCTATTATCGATTATGTCTTAATCAATTATTCTCCGTTTTAGATCAAAATAATGTTAAAAAAGTTATTGTTTGTTTTACAAATAGTCGATCAACATTTTATACTCCAGGCGATACGGCACCATTACTCAAACAGATGCTTAGATCTCTTGCAATCGGTGATGTTCCATTTAAAAAAGAGAATACATTTTGTTTTGATAGTGAATCATTTCGTTATTTAGTTGCTCTACAAAATGGAATCAACTTTAGTGAATTAGACAGACAAGAATATGAAATGAGTTGGATTAAGTCAGTACATGATTCAAAACGACTTATTGAATATATTTGTAAAGAACTAGCTAATCGTTGTATTCAACAGGAATGAAACGTTTTCTTCAGTATGTCGAACTTCTAACTATTTTATTTGATTCATAAAATATCAAAAACAATCGCTGATATTCTTCAAAATAGCATTGCATCTAAATGAATCAGTTACAAAGAACTTTTTATTTTCTTTTTACATGAATTGTGCATTATTTATTTGTAATTTACATAATGTGCTCCATTGAATCTTACCGAATTGAATAATTTTGGTTGGACGTTTTCTTCGAAAAAATAAAATTCTATGCAGTCGATCATAGTTACCCTCTAATTAATATACTTTGATTTTATAAATGTTTGTTCAAATAGATGATCTCCATTAAAATCTAAAGTTAAATGATGTCAAATCACACGAACAGCTTTAATATCTATAGCCTATGATTGAATAATAATACTCAGAGAGAATCCTATAATACATAATCAAATGAATTTTATTAAGTAACGATAAATAATAACAATGAAATAAAATGAATATGAAGTACTTTAGTATTAAATATTTTGATCGAAATGTTTATAGTAATTTAATATTGCTTCGTTAGTTTTTTTATCGATATATTCAAAGTATTCTATTTGCATTGTTTTTCAGGTAGCGATAAGATGTATACATATATATATAGATTGTCTCAATCAAGTCCAACATGACAACATGTCGCAGATCTGTTGAAAGCTTAGATGCAACGTCATAGTTTTGTTTTCCTTTTTTTCTTTATTCTTTACCTGTAAGAAGGAAAAACAACAGTATTCACAAGTTATGTGATATAAATCACATTGAAAGATTGTGCTCTCAACGTTATACAGGTATACATAAGGCCAAGGTTGCTGTTATGTGAAGGTAGGAAGTAAAAACGGCAAAGCATTCAAAATATTAAATTTTGTAGAGGTTTTTCATGTAAAATTAAGAGAAATATGCTTTGGCAAGAAAATAGGAAATATTTATAGCTCTTATGACTATGTGAGATTGTTTCTTTTTTGTTTCAATAGTACTAATTTGAATCAATAATTGTTTATTTATCTTTAGTCAAAATATGTCTGTTAAAAGATTTATTCAATTCTATTCTTGTTGAAATTTGATTGTAACATTATTCGCAAAAATTTCCTTTCGAATCATACAAAAGAATGAAGTTTTTCTGAAATTAACCGAGGAAAACAATGAATAAGTTTCGATATAAGATTTTGAGGAAAACTTTTTCACTTCCATTGAAATAAAAGGAATGTTGAAGTATAAAGGGTCGAGGCTTGCAACCATCACCTACCTCAAACAAACAATGACACACATTACCGCGAACACCTCACTGCCTGTGACAAACGTTGATCATATAGTCGCCGACAAAAGTTCAATTGAATTCTTTTTTTTTAAATTTTCTTTCATATTAGTAAAGGATATGAATCTGATTGAAACAGTAATATAGATAGTATGAGATGCTCGCTACATGATGTACTAGAATAGGAGGGAACTTTATCTGCCTTTATAGGTTTTTCATGCAAAGCTAGACTTATATGCTTTCCAATATTTTGCATTTGCTAATTGAGAGGTTTATGCTAAAATATAGACAAACTAGACCAATCGACAAAGAATTTCATGCCCTATCTATTTCTAAAACAATTTTTCTTTCTACAGGTGGTCTTCATTTCAAAAAACTGATTTTAACAAGAATAGTAGGAAAAAAATAGACCACTTTCAAAAAAAACGATAGGCGTGAAAAACCAGTGATATTACAACATCAAATAGACCATTTTGTTCTATTTTAAATGTTGTTTCCAATGATATGTAATTAACTGCGATAAGAGAGGATTAAGAAGAACTCATTGAACTTTTTCTGTTTTTTCGATATTTTCGTTAAAATAAGGCTTTTGTAGTGAAGACCAACTCTAAAAGGAAAACTTTTTTAGAAACAGATACGATGTGATGAAATCCTTTATCGATTGATCTATGCTGTTTTCATTCTAGCGCAAACCTCTTGGATAGCAACAGCGAAATACTGAAAAGCATTGAAATCTAGTTTTACGTGAAAAAACTATTTCCAGTGTGAAAAATCTGTATAGATAGATAGAGTTCCTTCCTTCTACTGTCACATGTGAATACGAATTAATATACCTAGAAGGTCATCAATTTGTCTTTTAAAGTTTTTGAAAAATTTTTGTAAATTGTTCAGAAAGAAAAAGAGAAATTTTCGAAGATTGTAGATGGCCCGCGACTCCTCTCTCGAGATACTATTCTATATATCAGACATTAGAATAGATAGAAGAAAAAGAATATTGTTTAACAACAGAATTATTAACGCATCACAGCTGGCATACAAAGCTAATCAGTCCAAAAACAAAAAACACTATAAAGTGAAAGAATAAGAATATAATGGCATATGATCATTTTATTTAAAACAGAAAACGCTATCAACCAAATTAGTGATCTTGTTAATTGTGCTATATGTATATATCTGGAATTCTGTGGGCTTCTATTTCCGGTGAGCTTTTATTCTGAGAAAGTAGTTTAGCGCATCATGTAGCCGGCGTCTTACGCTTGCATTTCTAGAAGATTAAGTCATCTTTCACATTTAAATGTGGGAGGTATTATGCTAACAGCTTTTTTTTCTATGTTCTCGCTAAGCTAAACTGCTTTATTCATTGTCTATTTGGCATAACACTACCATATGCATCATCTTTTTATTATATTCATTTTTGATTAAAAATGAAATCATCAATGTTCTAGATATCAATTCGTAAAAATATTTACTCTAAACACCAACGATGAACAGAAAGAATACTATAAGCTTCAAGGATTTATCGTTGGCTCCCATAGAACGTATGGCAATCGATGCGTCTGGACGTCTTGGCTCACTTTATGATCCATATTCCGATTCTATAGTTCAACAAATAAATATAGGCATTTTAAGAGAAAGTTCTAGACCAGAGGAACCTGTGAAATGTGAAATAATACGTAGCAATACATGCAACAATCGAAATCTTCTTGAAATGATCGGAATTCAAGATGATATGCGATTAAACATCTTACTGAACATTGTCCCACGAAACAGACAAGCCTCAATCATCAACCACCCTTATCCAATAAACGAATACACCCGTTTTATACATTATTCTTACGAAAATAGAACTGAAAAACTTAGAGACGATATAGAAGAAGTTAGAAAATTGATTGGCTCAGTAAATCTTCAAACTAATGCTACTCATATCATAACCAGTATTAGCTGGGGTATTGAGGCTATTATTATTATACAATTATCATCTAACTGTAATGTTGTCACACAGATAGATCATATACTTGAAGAAGTTGTACGTATTTTAAATGGAAGTCTACAACAATCTGTTCTAAATCTAAATGATGAAAGGGTACTGAGAGAAAATACTGACATTATGGTTTACTCGAATGTATCTTATCTCGATGGAATGCTTTCAATGCATGATATTTGTCAATTTATCAATCAACGCAATGGAAATGATAACATGTTTCGACCTCTGAAATATACTCTGAAACCTATTGAGTTATTCTACCCACAACATACTCGATTAGATTTACCAATTATTCAATTAGAGCCAGTATACAATAAAAAACTTGAAGAATATTTGTTAAAATACCTAGATATACTTAAGAACTTGAAATACTCATTGGATCACAAAGTGACAAAAATGTTGAATGAACATTTAGAAGAGCAACTATATGAAATACAAATACAATGGATAATTTTAAAGAATTTATACGAAAATGATATTAAACAATTGAAACAATTGATAACTAATATTCGTTATGGTCAATGTAATATCTCTATAATAGACAAAATACTTTCTCAGCGAAGACGCAAGAATTTTGATGATAGAATTAATAGAATAACTGAAAAAATGAATAATATAACAACACCAGGTCAGGTAATCACTGATTTAAAGTTATCATCGAATAAAGACTCTGGTGAAAAGAAGATATCAAAGAAAGAAGAAAATGTATCATCAACTTCTGACATTACCAATATACTTCTTCTTGGTGAAACTGGAGTTGGTAAATCAACTTTCATTAATGCTTTTGCAAACTATCTTACATTTAACACACTCGAAGAAGCTCAGAGGAATGAACCAGTAGTACTCATGCCTGTTTCATTTCTTATGACAACTGGTGATAATTTTGAAGAACATATTGTGAAATTTGGTGATATAGATGATTCTAATAATGAAGATTTTGATCATCCTGGTCAATCTGTCACACAACATTGTAAAGCATATGTATTTTATCTTAATGGCACTGATCAACAAAAACTACGTATTATTGATACACCTGGTTTTGGTGATACACGAGGTATTGAACAAGATGATCTCAATATGGAACATATTTTAGAATATGTGAATAATCTTTCTCATCTCAATGCAATATGTTTTCTTCTCAAACCAAATGCATCAAGACTGAATATCTCTTTTCGATCATGTATTACTCAATTATTTTCTCTTTTAGATCAAAATGCTCTTAATAATATTATCTTTTGTTTTACTAATAGTCGATCGACATTTTATACTCCTGGAGATACTGCACCATTACTTAAGAAAATGCTCATTTCTCTCTCAATCGGTAATGTTCCATTCAAAAAAGAAAATATATTTTGTTTTGATAGTGAATCATTTCGGTATTTGGTTGCTGTACAAAATGGAATTAAATTCAATGGTGATGAAAGGCAAGAATATGAAATGAGTTGGTCAACTTCAGTAAATCAATCAAATCGTCTTATTGGTTATATTCGTAAAAACATCGGTTTGTATCATATAGATGGTACCTTACAATCAATGAAACATGTTCAATATGAAATCAATCATATGGTTCGTCCAATGTTAAAAACAATGAGGAATTATCTTCGAAATCTTATCCTTCGAACAGAGAATTCTATAAAGGCTTCATTGAAATTGCATGCCAAAGATATTTCTTTTCCAGCTACTCTTTGCATTTCATGTGTACCTTATGCATTACTAGTTGGACAGTTTTGGATTGCAAAAAACATTCCACATAAAATTCAAAATAATCATTGTAGTTGTGAATGTTCTCTCAATCAACATATTCCAATTGATTACATACTCGAATATAAATCTTCGAAAAAACCGCTCAAGCCTAATCACGATGATATAAGTGATCTTCTGCATAAACTTTGTTATGCAAGTGCAGAACTTTCTTATTTTCTTGTACATTCAACTGCTTTCTCGAAAAGTGATCCATTTTTGACTGGTTTTGTACAAATAATAATCGAAGAAAATTATCTGTGTGGCAATCAGAAACCAAATGACTTGAATTTGCTTTTGACCAACAGTTTGAGAGGCCAACTAGAAGAATACAAGAAATACTTGAATGAAATCGAGTCTAAGCAAACGAAAAAGAAATTATCAGAAATTTATGAGTTAATCAATTCAATTCGTGATTATCCAATGATGCATGAGCAAATGATTGCTGTCAACAAAGGGCAAAAGAAAATGATGGAACTGTATGAATGCAAAGTTGGAAAAAAATCGACGAAATTTGATGATGATATCATGAGTGAATATATTTAAAAAAAGACAATTAGTCCACGTTGAACTGGCTGAGTAAATGAGAGAACAAGATTTGCTTTTGATAAAAATTTTAGCAATTCTATTAAAGTCAAAACATCATTGTAGCTTTTGTTTATGATCGGGTGTGGGTGAGACGAGTGTGCATGTGGCCGAGGATGTGCGTGTGTGAGCAGTGGATGTTCTTGGATGTACACAGAGATTAGACTATCATTCACACTCATCCTTTCTACAGCAATTTATGATCTGTCTCATCCACATCGTATAGATGATATAGAAGAAAGTCCTTTTCTGCATTACTGTTATATTGGCTCTTATTATCATCGTGATAACAGCTCGAAAATGCTCCATAACTAAAGCACCTATCAATCAATCCTATTATCTTAATTATTTTAGTTTTACCTCGTCTCATAATTTCATTTTTTTTCAAGTTGTATGAAATCGATACCTGAACGATATCTATTTCTATGTGGTTCATATTCATTCTTTATTCCACTTATTCGTGTTTGTATCGTTTTTTTACTACTTTCAAAAACATATAGAAAGTATCTATCAATACAATGAATTATTTCATATTCAGTACTCGGTGTTTTTTACCGATGAACTAATCAAATATCATCAAAGTATCTAAAAATATTTTGTTGTATTATCGATAGAAGAAGGTCACTAGAATAGAAAATTACTAGTGGAAAATACAAATTAAAAAGTTAGTATTAAAAATGTGTGAAACGAATAAATAAAACTTTACCAAGATAGAGGCCCATAAAACTTTGCTCCGCACATTTCTGATTACAATTCTTCTTATTTATTTCCTGTGATCAAAGTACAGAACATCTGCTTTTCTTTTATTTGTATTTTAAATACCCACATCACTATTGTAAATCAAACGTATTTGTTTTCATCATTAAACGACTTCTATGCTTGAAGTTTTTTTGTAGATTGGATGTGAGTTATATGATTACAGTAATAATAAAGTGTGTAGGTATGGAGTGTGAACCAACGAATATCTACACCCTCCATGGAAAGACTCTAAGTACGCTAGTTCACGCTTGAAAAATTCGGAAGATATCTTAATATAAATTAGAAAGTTTCTACTCGGTTTGTACACTTGAATATATATTCAAGCTACTTTTTTCGTAGAAACCCGAACTTAAACTTTGAAAATCATAGTTTTTGTAGTAAAAATACCTATTTATGTCAAATAAAACTCCATCAAAGCTAATGTTTAGCACCTTATTTTTGATAAGTAAGAAAGTTCATCAATAAAATTTTCATAAAGAAGTATCGAAAGAGATTACAGACAAGAATCTATCAGAAACAATTCGGAGAAAGAAGAATGTAGTCTAACTCAATTGGTTATAATTTTTCTAGAATCCAAATAGAATTAAGAAAAAAGGTAATGCACATTATTATTACTCATTTGTCTTCTCCTGCATTGCACCCACATCCTAATAATATCAAACAGACAACGAATTTCCCATAAAAGAAAAAAATAGAAAGAATTGAATTTCATCATTTGTGTATCACACTTTTGATTTGAGCACATTTATCTTGCAGAATATGATTGATAGGATCTGTGTGTGAGTAATCAGAAGACATGATGAAAAAAAAATACGATTCCAACAGACAAAACGTAAGGTTCACATGCTATATAGAAATTTTCCGTGAATTTCTCAGTCCTTTTAACAGACATTTGAATTAAAACATTTATTGAAACTGTCAAAAAGAGAGCCCATGTGTGAGTAAGCATGCAAAAATGCACCTAACTAATATAGTCGTCATTTAGCTTTCGTGCGTAACGATGACGTATGATTTTGCACTTACTCTCTTATGACGACGGTCCTATAATGTACATAAAAGAGAAAAAGAAAAGAGAAAAGCCTTCACTTAGGTATATAAATAGGAGGTGACGGTGTTGGAGAACATTATATTTATAAAAATACACATGGCTCATTCTCGACATTACGAAATTAAGGAGAAACATTTCTCCTTAGAGGAAAAATTATTGATCTTCGATGAGCACGGCAACGCTGTCTACACAGTGCGTTCTACTCTGCTTGCCTTCGGTGATAAACTCACTTTGCTTGATTCCAATGGCATGGAACTGATCAAAATTCGTCAGGAGCTTCCTCATTTTCATCTCTACTTCAACGTGTATGCCACCGAAAAAGAAAACTACCATTTGGCTAAGATCCAACAGGTAGGTCCTCCGTGGCACCACCGACTCATTATCGAATCCGTTAACGGTCAATATATGATCAATAGAACAACTGCAGTATTAACTGGCGGCGAGTACATTTTAACAAAAGATGACAAAGCCATTGCAAGAATTCACCGAAAGAAATATCCATTTATGGCTGGATCGTATTCTGTTGATATTGTCGAAGATGCGGATGACCAAGATGATTTGTTTGTGCTAGCTCTCGTCATTGCCCTGTGGTGTACTCAACGATGTCGATACAAAGATGGCGGAGGTGGTGGATAGAACTAATTTAGTTTTTATACTGAGATTTTGTTTGAAAATAAATAAAAAGTTATCTGATTCTGAAACAGAATTATAAAGAAGATTTTCAGTCTAATAAAATTGCTAAAAAAATAGTACTAGGATTGATCACTAGGCTGTAATAATACATAACGATTTCATTAAAAGTTAATTGTCTTGTATTTCTGACCCATAAACATTTTTTTAAATTAATTTTCGATTATATCCTTCCTACTATTGTTTACTTTTATTCGTACAGCCTTTAAATTCATAAGCATCAGAGTAGAATCAGTCAAACTAATTCCAATAAACAGCATTTATTACTATTTATATAAAAGACATTGGTTGAAATCGATTTGGCTAAAGAAAAACAGATTTTTAATAGATTGAACATTGACAGAAGTTGAAAAAAAAACAATCACTGCTTAAACTGCTGATTTTTATAAATCATTATGACTTATAATAAAGTTAATAATAGATAGTAATTTAGTTTTGATAATCTAACTGAAATAATAAGATCTTCGTTAATCGTAATCCCATAAGTTGCAGGATCGGATGCATAAATTATTGAACCTACATTTTTCCATAGAAAAAAAGTAATAAAAAGAAAATTCAAAACTCTGTTTAATGTTTGAATTATATTTGTATAAGCAAGAAGTTCAATCGTAATAACTTAGAACTAAATAAGAATAGCAAGACTGATTTCTATATTTCAAGGGCAAATTCTACCTAAATTAATGTGCATATGAATACCTATTTTCTGAGAGGCAAAAATATGTTGAAACATTTATGGATATTTTTGAAAGTTGTTTTGAGAAGATTTTAGATGTATTTATTTCATGAGACGAAAAAAAAAACAAAATCAAGATTGTTTATATTAACCTATCGTACAGATTGGTCTTATTAGATGTTGAGTTCTATTACAATTCACAAATCCAGAGTCATGTAGGCATTTTTCTCTAGATTCATCACTAGAACCAAAGCTAATCAATTTCGCTAATATCTCATATATTCTCAGGACGTTAAAACAACAGAGAGTCAATTTTAATGATCGAATAATTTTTAAAATGATCTGGCATACCTGCTTGCACGTGGTTATTAAATTTTTCGAACATACTCAAAATATCTGTTTTGAAGAAGCACATTAATCAAAAATCGACATAATCTGAATGCTTAAGAAAAAATCGATGGTATTAAGATTGTCAAAGTGGCGAACACAATAGAAAAGAGTAAGCGAAGCTGTGTCTTTGTATTTATTCTGGAATTCATAGCAAATATACTACGAAAAAATAGGAGAGATTCACTCTTCTTTACTTAATCTAATTCATAAAACAATATTTAATTACTCAAATCAAGTTTTTTGGTGATCTGAATTGATTTGTACTATAACAAACGCAGTCAAAGTCATTGAAACGTTCGTATTATTATGCTTGACCATTCTAATGTGTTTTAGTGATTAAGAAGATTTTATAATTTTCTGAACGTACATTTCGATTCTCCGCATGGAAGCAACAAAATGTCTTCAATTTCATAAATCTACAAATGTAGCATAGTTTATATGTTTATTGTAATGATGTATTCGTTTTCTATCTTTATCAATTGTAAGTCATTTAGGTTTGTCATTATAAAATAATAATTGCATCGTAGTTTATTTTTTTCGCTTCTAGGATTTTAATCAGCTTTGCAAACTTTAATCAACAAATCGTGAGTTAAATAATCAATGAGAAAATCAACATCTGGTATTTGATTTCCATATCTAAAAAGTTGAATGAAATTCGAAGTAAAAAATAATTCCAACGATGAAAATATTTGTATTATTATTTGTTGTTTATCTATCATCTATCAATATTGAATGTAAAATAATTTTTTGAATGAAAAAGAAAAAAAGAAAAATTTTGATTTTCATATAACATTTTTTTTTGTATTTAGTTAGCAATGCAGAACTTGATTGTACCATCTATGACAATGATCTTGATGGTATCAATCTAAATCAATTTTATATAACACGTTCTCCAGCTTATCGTATTACATCTGTTGTTTATGATTCTACATTAAAAGTGAAAGAATTTAATGTATTTAATGATGTTAATCCATCTTCAAGTGTTTATTGTGTGAAAAGTTTAGGAAAACTTCAATTAGTCAATACAAATTTAACAATCTTATCTGATATAAAAAATCTTCAAAATTTAACATCCTTAATAATTGAAACAGATAATGGTATTATTGATCAACATTTACCATCGGAATTTGGACAATTAAAATCTTTATCAATTTTAAAATTATCTAATATCACAAATCTTGAAGATTTACCTGATGAAATTAAATATTTAAGTCAATTACAATCATTAACATTAGAAAAAATTCGAAATTTTAATAAAATATCTGATGAAAGTTTTGGTCAAGTAAATAATCTTAATATATTAAAATTAATTGATTTACCAAATTTATCTTCAATTCCAACAACAATCAATAATCTTCAATTATTACAACAATTAGAAATAACAAACATAAATATTCATAATTTACAATTAGAAAATTTATTTGTATTACAATCAATAATAATTTCATCAAATACAAAATTAATTTCATTAGATATGATAAATTTATCTTCGATTCCAACAATGTCAATAAAAAATAATCAACAATTAAAAACTATTATATTAGAAAATTTTTCTAAATTAAATACTTTTGAATTATATTCATCATCAAATCTTGAATTGATTTCATTTCAAGATGCATCATTATTATCAACTATTATAATTATATCAAGTCCGACATTGAAAACTATTTCACTTATTAATGTACCATCAATAAGAAATCTTACTTTATCTGGATGTGAACTAACAATATTTCCTGAAAGTATTTTAACATTAACATCTTTAGAAGTATTAAATATGAAATCAAATCAATTATCAACATTACCATTAACATTATTAACTGATTTACCTAATTTACGAATTCTTAATTTGACTAATAATAAATTTCAAGAAAATATTTTTCAACCAGCACTTATTTATCTTCGTGAACTTGATTTAAGTAATAATTCATTAACATCTATTGATAATATTGGAAAATATAAATCTTTACAAATATTAGATTTAAATATTAATAAAATATCATTAATTCCACTTGAAATCATGAAATTATCATCGACATTAAAAAGATTAACAATGAATTCTAATGTATTGAATGGTGTTCCATATTCAATGGCAAATATGAGATCATTAGAAGTTTTTTCTGCTACCGCTAATAATATTTCATATTACGAAATCCGTTATCTCATTGAATTATTTAATAAATCACCTATAAGAGCTTCATTTTATTAAAATAATCCTCTTTATGATAAATTGATTTAAATTTACTTACTAAATAAAAGATATTCAAAACAGTTTCTTTTGATGCAAAGATCTAACTAAATCATCATAACATTGAATTATGATACATGAATAAATTATTTCAATAGTAGATAGAAAATTGATTCGATTCGTTCCATTGCAATACTTTACACTTAAAAGCTCGTATTCAAAAAGAAAAGTAATAAAATAAATCACTTCTGCTCGCAGATTCGAAGATGTAAAAGAAATTTATTGATTATAACATCCTCATGAAAACTAATATTCAACCAGTTATGCATCTGAACTGATAAATTAACATTGCCCATTCATGAAAAATTGAAAATTTTTACGAATAAATTACACAACCATATTGATTAGAAAAACAAACAAAAACTTATAATGGTATTAACCTCTTAGAAAAGTAGAGATTCTATAAGTGTTACTGAGTCTTAAGTTTTTTTT